ACGACGACGACGACGACGACGACGACGACGACGACGACGACGACGACGACGACGACGTAGACGACGTAGACGACGTAGACGACGACGACGACGACGACGACGTAGACGACGACGACGACGACGACGACGACGAACACCGACGACGACGACGACGACGACGACGACGTCTACGATTACGACGATTACGACGACGATGACGACGGCGACGACGGCGACGACGGCGGCGAGGAAAGGTGCCGCGTAAGGGGCTCGCATTATGTTTTCTTGCACGCGCCCGGAGGGTGGTTTCGCGGCACGCCGCCCGGTGTCTCGTCAGGCTCCCGCTGGCTCGCTGCCTGAGCACGGGGGTGCAGTGCAGCTGGCGAAGGGCGGCATGAGATATTGCTAGAGGCAACGATGGGCACGGTTAAGGGCCATGAAGCCCGGCGAAGGGGCCATGAAGCCAGATTGGGCTGCATTAGTCAAGCCTGGATTGACCATGGAGAAGGTGTAACCTGGGTAACAAGAATTCGCGCGGATTAGGCCGGTGCTCTACGACGAGCTGCGTCCTAAAATGAGGATCGCCTGTCCGAGTGCGGATGGAAAGTTTACCCCCGAACGTACCACCGTAGGGATCTGTAGAAGGTTCCGGCCGCCCTGGGACACGCGTCCCCGACGGCGGACAACTACCTGGCACACCGCTCCTGGTACGCTCGGCCGGACCCACGACTGAAGACCATCCCTCAAGAGCATGAGACCCGCCGCTGGCCAAGCTGAAAAACACTCGAGGGTACCCTCCCCCAGGGTGCACAAGAACATCCAACAGGCACGAAGAGAATTAGGGCACCCTCCCCGAGCAAACCTCGATCTGATATACCCCGGTCCGACCGCAAACGGTGCCCGACGCGCCACCAGACCGACCCCTCCCACTCCTCCTCCTCCTCCTCCTCCTCCTCCTCCTCCTCCTCCTCCTCCTCCTCCTCCTCCTCCTCCTCCTCCTCCTCCTCCTCCTCTTCCTTCTCCTCCTCCTCCTCCTCCTCCCTTGACGAGCCCCTTCCGCGACGACCCCCTCGCCCTCGAGGCCCTCCTCAAGCCGCCCGCCCGCGCCTCTGGACGAGGCGAGGAAGGTGGCTGGCACGCAAGGGGCCAGTCTGCAAGGGGTCGGGCGGGCCGAACCGGACACAACGGGGGGGGGGCAGGAGGAGGAGGAGGAGGAGGAGGAGGAGGAGGAGGAGGAGGAGGAGGAATGGGGAGGGAGGAGGAGGAGGAGGGGGAGGGGGGGGGGTATGGGCACAGGTCGGCACGAAGAAAGCCCAGACATCCCGAATCTGTCGCCATTCATGGCATCTGGGGGCCATTTTCGGACCGAAGGGCCCGCAAGCACCTGCTCGTGATGAAAAGAATTATGCTAACGGAGTTCCCCACATAAAGAGATTAACGGTTTCGTGGGACCCATGCCAGTAAATAGTATGGTTTTCGGATACCTTCCTCGCTCAGGCGGGGCCACCCTGGAGATACCCTCCTCGCTCAGGCGGGGCCTCCCTGGAGGGTGGGAGGGGCACGAAACCATGTAAATAGTATGGTTTTCCGATACCCTCCTCGCTCAGGCGGGGCCTCCCTGGAAGGGTGGGAGGGGCACGAAACCATGTAAATAGTATGGTTTTCCGATACCCTCCTCGCTCAGGCGGGGCCTCCCTGGAGGGGTGGGAGGGGCACGAAACCATGTAAATAGTATGGTATTCCGATACCCTCCTCGCTCAGGCGGGGCCTCCCTGGAGGGGTGGGAGGGGCACGAAACCATGTAAATAGTATGGTATTCCGATACCCTCCTCGCTCAGGCGGGGCCTCCCTGGAGGGGTGGGAGGGGCACGAAACCATGTAAATAGTATGGTTTCCGATACCCTCCTCGCTCAGGCGGGGCCTCCCTGGAGGGGTGGGAGGGGCACGAAACCATGTAAATAGTATGGTTTCCGATACCCTCCTCGCTCAGGCGGGGCCTCCCTCCTGGGAGGGGCACGAAACCATGTAAATAGTATGGTTTTCCGATACCCTCCTCGCTCAGGCGGGGCCTCCCTGGAGGGTGGGAGGGGCACGAAACCATGTAAATAGTATGGTTTTCGATACCCTCCTCGCTCAGGCGGGGCCTCCCTGGAGGGTGGGAGGGGCACGAAACCATGTAAATAGTATGGTTTTCCGATACCCTCCTCGCTCAGGCGGGGCCTCCCTGGAGGGGTGGGAGGGGCACGAAACCATGTAAATAGTATGGTTTTCGGATACCCTCCTCGCTCAGGCGGGGCCTCCCTGGAGGGGTGGGAGGGGCACGAAACCATGTAAATAGTATGGTATTCCGATACCCTCCTCGCTCAGGCGGGGCCTCCCTGGAGGGGTGGGAGGGGCACGAAACCATGTAAATAGTATGGTTTCCGATACCCTCCTCGCTCAGGCGGGGCCTCCCTGGAGGGGTGGGAGGGGCACGAAACCATGTAAGTAGTATGGTTTTCGGTATGGAGTGGTATGGAATGGTATGGTAGGTATGGTATGGTACGGTATGGTATGATATGGTATGGTATGGTACTGGAGGTATGGTATGGTATGGTACGGTGTGGCATTGGTGTGATATGGTATGGTATGCTATGGTACGCCATGGTATGGTATGGTACGGTATGGTACGTATGGTGTGGCATGGTATGGTATGGTATGGTATGGTATGTGTGGTAGGAACTATGGTATGGTATGGTGTGTGTGGTAGGAATAATATTGTGCTGTATGGAAGATGGAGCGGGAGGTGGGTGGGAAGGAGAGGGTGTTCTGGGAAAACAAGAACCCCACTCAGGATGTGGGGAAAAAACCCTCAGGGGGTCGAGAGGACTGCGGGGCGGGCCCTCGCATCGAAAGAGTCGAGTGTCTGGGAAGAACTCAGATTCTGAGGGAAACAATTCCTGGGCCTCAGGGCCTTCTCTCGGACCAGCGTCTCGGCCCGAACAACTCATTATCCGAGATCTATATCCTTATATATGTACATTTATTTGTATATATAAACTATATAATATATGGCACGACAAACGACAAGAAACACAACTGGACCGCTCTCCCTCAGGACCCCTGCCCTCATTGGGGAGCAGGGCTTGGGGATGGCCGAGGACAAAAATGCTGGAGCCAAATCCGCTCAAAATCGGCCCCCAGACCCGGACCCATCTAGGGGTCTATCTGGTGCAGTTTTCCATTGCCCGTGTCGTGTCATCCACACGGCCCCAGTCCTCACCCCCCCTCTTCGACGCCCCCGACTCTTTCGTCAACGGCAAAGATGCAGTGACGACTTGCGCAGTGTCTTTGATGCCGCGAGGATCCCTCAACCCTTCGGGCGGGTGGCAAGGGGGGGTGACCCACATGGGGGGGGAGACAAGGGCCCTGAAGGGGCCCTTCAGGGTTTGGGGCCCCCTTTTGGAGCCAGCTGGCGCCCGAAGGGGGCCCTTCCATCCCCCGTTTGGGTCAACCCCCGTTGCCACCCGCCCGAATCTTCAATGATCCCGGCTTTCCCGTTGCGCAGATCGTTCCAAGGGCTCCCAACTTCGCGCTTCGCGCTGCGCGAAGCGCGAGAGCGCGAATAACTTCGCGCCCTCGCGCCGCCCCCCCAAAGGGAGAAGAGGAGGACGAGGAGGAGGGGGGAGAAGGAACGAGGACCGCGAAGCGCGAAGCGCGAATAACTTCGCGCCCTCGAGGGAGCCCTTGAGATTGTTCGGTGTCTGCCGATTCTGGGCCACGGGCGGCGCGCAGCCTGGAACGCCCACGATGGGGCCGGTCGGGTCGCAGCCGCGTCCACGGCACGAGACAAACTGGCGTGGACGCTCTCAGGGCCCGCCTGGTAGAAGGGAAACGTCATGGGGGGGGGGCGGGCTCAGCGAGGCAAGCATTGACCTTGAATCGACGATCCATCGCCCAGACAGCAGGGGCTCGATCGGCGATGCTCTCGCCCCCGCGGTGAGCCCATGATGAAGTCGGGCGCGTCCCTCGACAGGAGGAATACTCCGAAACAGCAACAAAAATAGTCGGGGGCGACTTGTGAACTTTTTTTTTAGCTGTTCTGAAATAGATGTTCTGACGTTTTTTTTAGTGTTCCGAGCTCCGCCTGTAGGAGGACACGCCCGACCTGAGCCTATGACCCCCCGACGTTGTCCCCTGCTCTTCGGGCCACCGCTCGGCTCTCAGACGGCCGTTCGGGACGATCTGGGCATCCCACTAGGGCTCCCAACTTCGCGCTTCGCGCTGCGCGAAGCGCGAAGCGCGAATAACTTCGCGCTCTCGCGCCGCCCCCCCAAAGGGAGAATAGGAGGACGAGGAGGAGGGGGAGAAGGAACGAGGACCGCGAAGCGCGAATAACTTCGCGCCCTCGAGGGAGCCCTTGGCATCCCAGGAGCGCTCCCGGCGAGGCGCAGACGCTGAAGGCACCCTGTGGGTGGAAAGCCGACGAACACCAGCGAGAGAATCCGAAAACCTGGAGCCTCGAAGCCCTGCCTTCCCCCCCTGATCCGAACTGTTCTTGGGTCAATAACTCGGGCCTCAAGCGGCCGTTTGGGACGATCCCGGTACCCCTGAAACGCTCTCGGCAAGGCGCAGCCGATGGTACTCAACCGGGGCCCCGAAATCCTCCAACAACTTTGGAGAACCCTGAGACTATCCCGCCCTTGATGGGCAAATGTTCAACCAACGCTACCAGATGTAGGACGGGGGCCAAGGGGGGATGAGGATGTCCTCCTCCTCCTCCTCCTCCTCCTCCTCCTCCTCCTCCTCCTCCTCCTTCTCCTCCTCCTCCTCCTCCTCCTCCCCCTCCTCCCCCTCCTCCTCCCCCTCCTCCCCCTCATCCCCCTCCCCCTCCTCCTCCTCCTCCCTCTCCTACCTCTGGTAGTGGTGGAAAATGGACCCATCAGCCCTACCGTGGCCGCCGAGGGCCGCAGCCGCGACCACGGCTCGAACCTCTGCCGTGGGCAGCGCTCGAGGGCCCCCCCCGTCAGGGGGCAGCGGGCCTCGCAGGCGGCCGCTGCCGCGCGGGCTGCCGCGCGGCGGCGGCAGCGACGCCCGCCAGAGCCGCGGCACGGGCCCCTCGGTCAGCGCGTAACCGCCAGGCCCCCCCACAGAGGCGAGCGCGAGGGCGGATCCGCGTTCGAGGCGTTCGACCCTCTTCGTGGGCTCGCGGCTTCGGGGTTCCAGGTGTTCCTCGGTCTCGTGGGCTCTCGGCGGCTTTCCGGCCTCGGGGTGCCTTCCAGCGGCTGCGCCTCGCCGGGAGCGTTCCAGGGGTGTCCGGATCGTCCCGAGGAGCCGCCGGAGGCCCGAGCGAGAGCCCGAAAACCAGCAGTGGATAGACTCGTGGTGCGATGCCTCGGCCTGGAGTCGCCCGTGCCCGAGCGCAGCTAGGGCAGGCGCCGCGTGCGCGGTGCGGACGCTTCGGGAACAGGCGACCGTTCGAGGTTGAACGAATTTCGCGGTGTCAGAAACCAGCGCCAACGTCGGCACGGCACGACGACAACAATGACGACGACGACGACGACGACGACGACGACGACGACGACGACGACGACGACGACGACAATGACGACGACGAGGACGAGGACCAGGACGACGACGACGAGGACAAGGACGAGGGCAAGGACGAGGACGCCGACGGGCCCCTCTCTCGATCAACAGAAGGGGTTGGCGCGCGACGTGCAGCCCCGGGACCCCGGTGGTGCAGAAGGCGCCCGTACGACCACCACAACCAACTTGCCTGTCCAGGGCCCCCCGCGGGCCCTGGCTTGCCAGGACGGGGAACGCGCCCTCAAGGGAACGGGCCCCGGTTCCCAGGGCCGTTCCCCCAGGGCCAGCCTTCGCCCTGGTTCGCTGCCTCGCGGTCCCATGGGGCCCAGGGACGGCCCCAGGAGGCCGAAAACGACCAAGAAGCAATCTCTTTCGCCAACCCTGGAGCGCGCAGCGCCGGGACATCTTTCTGATGACGAGGGTGCCGCTATACCAGCCAACGCAACTCCTACTTGGACCGGAGGGCGGGCCGACAGAGAAAAGCGGGCCAGGGACAGAACCAAAACAGGCGGGGAAACGGCGAGCCGGGGAGCGAGGGAGGGAGGAACAAGGAAGACGACAACGGGAAGGGACAGACAGGGCCGACAGACGGAGGGACGGGGAAACGGAAAGCTCGAGGGAGCCAAGCCGAAGGAGGGAGGGAGGAGACACGACACACGAGGGCAAGGGAGCACAAGGGCAGGGGGGCACAGAAGGGAAAGGGATCCAGTCTCTCGCAGGATCCCCCTGCCGCACAGGCGACTGGCATGGCGTATGCGCCCTCCTGGCCGAGGCTAGGAGGGCACTTGCACTGGCTTGGGGCCCGCGAGGGTCCTGGCCAGGACTGGTCTGCAGTCTGCAGAGGTGCGCAAGCGCCCACGGCTCGAGTCGGGGATCAGCTACAGAACTGATCTCCAGCCCGAGAACTAATTGTTGGCGGAACCTGCAGGGAGTACGTAAAAGGTTCGCGGATCTACAAACGTTATGCGTACGTTCTTGCAGATTCGACGAGTAGATCACTTGTGGGGTGAGTCAACTCTGTAGTCGATCTTAGGCCACGCTACCGGCGGTGTTGGTGTACGGCGATGTTGGGAATGTGTTTCTTGCGACGCCGAATCCGCGCAGAACATAATGTAGAAAAGAACGAACAGCGCTTTCCTACAAGCTGGTTAGCCACGAACCACCCCCAGTCGGAGAAGATGGGGTCGGAGGATCGCGCCGCATCGCCGATCCATCGGCGATGCATCTGCGATGTATAGACGATGCATCGGCGATGCACTGGCGACGCACCGGCGAAGTCGGCGAGGCACCAGCGACGTCGGCGTGGAGAAAATCGGGCTCCGCATCGAGCCGCATCGCCGATGCATCGGCGATGCGGCGCGTTCCTCCGACCCCATATACTCGGACCCCATCTGGGAGGCCTAGGCCCACCCACCATGCCGAAATCTGGATCGCCGTCACCTGCATCGCCGTTAGCGTGTCTACGGCCCTGCTCGAAATGTGGACATCGCTCCCCCTCTACAGAGAGCCAGTGCCCCCCGTTCCCTGGCCGGCGTGCCCTCGCGCGTACGGATGTTCCCACTCCGATGTCCTCCCCAATCCCGCTCCCGATCCTCCTCCCTCTCCTCCTCATCCATGTTCCTCGCTCATGAGTATCCTCCTCGTCCTCCTCGTCCTCCTTCTCGTCCTCCTCCTCCTCCTCCTCCCTCCTCTTCCTCCTCCTTGTCCCCCTCAATCCTATTTCCTCCCTCATCCTCTCTCCTCTTTCCTCCCCCTCCATCCTGCTCCCCGTCCTCGTCCCCCACCCCCGCCCCTCCCTCCTCCTCCTCCTCCTCCTCCGCATCCTCCTCCTCCTTCTCCGCCTCCTCGTCCTCTCTATACCGCGCCCCTCCTCGCTCTCCCTCCTCCGCCCCCTCCCCCCCCTCCTCCTTCCCCTCCGCCTTCTCCCTGATCTTCTGCCGCCGCCCTCCCCCCACCAGCGAGGAGGGACACCGCCAAGCGGACTGGATACGTCGCCACCCGTGGAGCAGAACGCGGCCAGCCTCCCCGCCGACGACGGCATCGTCAGCCAGCCTGGCGAGGCGTGGCGGGAGGTGCAGCTTATGCGGGGGCTGCGGTAAGGGGCTGCAGCACACGTGTTACAGTCATCGTACTACCACGGGGAACGCCGAATAATCACGAACGACGGGACATCCTCTGTCCACGGCGAGCCTCGTCCACGAGCAGGTTCTCAGACCCAGACCTAGTGAGCGGCCCGAAAGCCAGCGTCCCTCCAGAGCCCTCCCAGATGGGGTCCGAGTAGATTGGGTCGGAGGATCGCCCCGCATCGCATATGCATCGCCGATCCATCAGCGATGCATCGGCGACTTCGGCGATACATCGCCGCTGTCGGCATGAAGAATGTATGACTCCACTTCGAGCCGCATCGTAGATGCATCGGCGGTTCGGAGAGATCCTTCGACCCCATCTACTGGGACCCCGTCTGGGAGGCCTGTGCTCATGAGCCCTCGCTGGGCGTTCCTCATGTCAGAGTCTTGTCTGTAATGCAGGATCCAGCCAGCACTGGCACAGGGCGGGTCGGACTTGAACAATGCGGTTTGCCTCGCCACGGAGCCAGTGCCCCGAGTCGAATGGACAGCGCCAGTCAGGCAGACCGACGCCGTCGGGCCCCAGCGGATCGCAGAACAACTGACATCGAATGGGATCGAGGCGGACAAAATCGACATCCCTCCCACCGGGTCGATCGAATGAACACTGGGCCCTAGGTTTGAGGGAACCATCTGTCTCTCGGGGTCATGACGGTCGCCCACAAATCATGAAACCACTAGGTGAAACAGAAATACAAATGCTCAGGACTTGAAAACACTCTCTGCATGTGCACAGACGATAAGATTGGTCGAGGCTTCATTGGGGGAGTCATCATCCGCCAATCCTCCTCTCTCCCCCCTTTCTCATTGACTCCAGTTCTGTCTGGCAGCTCGGTGAGGAGCAAGCTGAAATGTTTGCCAGGTGCCACTTCGTTTCCCCTTCATTGAGGTCCCAGAGGAGAAGCAGATCAGACTTGTGAAGGTTTTTCCTGGTTGAAGGTTTTCGGGTGAGGCATTTACTGACGGTGCTGCGTTCCATTCGCACCTCCAGGGATTCTGCCGCGCGGAGTGGGCAGTCAACCAGATAGATCGAGCAGGCGAACTTGTCGCCGCCATGTACGGCGCGGCCCCTCTTCACACTGCCCCAGGACAGGCGGCTAGCCAGAGACGGGGAGGACTGGACATGTCGAATAATTGCGATGTTTAGTGAGCGGTCTGAGGAGAGCCTGCTTGTTGTGCAAAAGGACTGTGCAGGCTCTCTCTGATGTGCTCAGGATTCGAGTGTCGTTCCTGGGATTGGCAACCCGCGGCAACACATGAGGCGTGAATGGTGGCAGGGCATCGGCCGGCAAGCCAGTGTTGTCAAGTTGCTGCTCATAGGAGCCTGGCCTCAGCCACGTCGGATCACGAGGAATGCCGCAAGAGGGGCAGTGCGATGGCTGACAAGTGGGCCAAGCGTGCAGCTAAGCAGCTAAGCTTTGGAATGTGTCCTCGAGTTTGCGTGGGCGTGCGAGAACATAGTCACGGACGTTGTTCGTCGGCAAAGTGGGTGTTGGGAGTTGTTTGGCGAGCTTGAGCAACCTGATTCAGATGAGCTCGCGGGCACAGGGCACGTCGCTCTCGACGACGAGGGGCAGCAGGGGGTGGATGCCTGCTTCGACTCCTCAGTGGACTCCTCAGCCGTGACTTTACCAGCGTGGCGATGTGGCATGGTCTTGCTTCGCCCGGTGAGCTTGCCTGATGGGAGCGCTCCTGTCGGAGAGGTCCGGTGGAGGACTCACGGCCACTGTGGTGGAGCTGAGTTTTGCCGCAAGGCGAGGAGCACTCTGCCTGCCTCTCGAGGCGGAGGAGGAGGAGGAGGAGGAGGAGGAGGAGGAGGAGAAGGAGGAGGAGGAGGAGGAGGAGGACTGTCTGCCAAGGATTGCGATGGTGGTGGTGTACTGGCGACGGGGGAGATGCTCAAGGTGGGAGGGGGGGGTCACGCAGATCAGTCCTCCCTCCGCCTCTCTCTGCTCGTCCTCGTCTGCCTCGCCATCCTCCACTCCCCCCCTCCTCGCGCCACTCCTCTTCGTCCTCGTCATCCTCCACTCCCGCCCTCCTCGTCATCCTCCCGCTCATCATCCTTGCGGCCGGACCTAGGACAAAAGACCATCCTTCAAGAACGCGAGACCCTCTGCAAGCCAGACCGAAGAAAACTCGAGGGCACCGTCCCCCATGACGCACAAGAACATGCAACCACTACGAATAACATCAGGATACCCTCCCCGAGCCGACCTCGATCTTATACCTCGGCCCGACCGTACCAAGACCATCATAATCGATATCGACATTCACATCTACCTCACCATCACCACCACCACCATCATCCAACTCCACCTCCCCACACCTCGAGGACTCCTCACTCCCCTTTGTCCCCACTCTCTTCCTCCTCCTCCTCCACCTCCTCCTCCTCCTCCTCCTCCTCCTGCTGCTGCTCCTCCTCCTCCTCCTCCTCCTCCCTCCCTCCTCCCCTCCTCCTTCTTCCCCCCTCCTCCTCCTCCTCCTCCTCCTCCTCTCCTCTCCCTCTTGCTCCTCCCCAACTACTCTCCCTTACCCCCTTTTGCCCCTCTCCTCCTCCTGCTGCTGCTGCTGCGCCTCCTCTCCTCCTCCTCCTCCTCCTCCTCCTCCTCTCTCCTCCTCCTCCTTCCTCCTTCCTCCTCCTCCTCCTCCTCCTCCTCCGTCCCCTCCTTCTGATCACGGCCCCGGCCGCCGCGGAGGCCGAAAACGGCCCAAAACCATCCGTCGTGATTTTGTCGCGGCGCCGGAGCCATGGGGACAGCTGCTGGCCGGCGAGGCTGGCACGGCTCAGGTTCCACCCGAAGCGAAAGTCAGAACGATTTTCCTGGCGCTTGCGATTGGAAATTAGGCATGCAGGCTCTCGAGCAACTCATGTGCGTACACTGGACCGACCTTCATAGAGTGCGAATCTGAAGCACTGCCGCAACGTCTTCTCAGTCTGTGCATCTGGAGTATCGGTGAGCCAGTCGTTCTCCTTTCGATTCCATGCCGATGCGACGCTGCCTGCGACGCCTGACTTGACCGAGCATGTTCACAAGAGGCCTGGATTCTGGGGCGCGATCCCGCGGGTACGCGGTCACACGGATGCGTTCCGCGCGGGGCACCCGCGAGAAGAACGCTCCGTACCCGCGGGGCCCCGCCAGCGAGGCCGCGGGTACGGGCATGCTTCTCGCCCACGAGATGTCTGGGCGTGCCCGCGAAGCCTCGACTACCTACCATACCGACTGCACGCAAGGGCGACCCCGGGCAGGAATGGCCTCTGGTGCGCGGCTTTCAGCGGGGCGCGCGGGCGCCAATCTCAGGCGTGCAAGCCGCTGCCGTCGCATCGCATTCGACCAGCCGGGGACCCCCATGGTCCAGGGTTGCATAGTGTGCCCCTCCCCTCTGGTCCAAGTTGTCCCCGGCTTTCCGCCCCATTTTGGGGCCCCCCGGGCCCCCTGGGCCTTGTGAGGGGTGCTCTGGAGGCCGTGGGGGCCTCCTTGAAAATCCTGGGCGCACCATGGGCCAGGGGAACTTCTAGCAACACACGAGATTCGGCGACACGCGCGGGGGGGAACTGGGAAGGAGAAGGCAGGATTCCTCAGAAGGCGGCGGGACTTCTCGGAACCCCTCGCGCCTTCTGAGAAGCTCTTTCTGTCTTCGGGGAAGGCTTAGCAATCTTCTCAGAAGGCCGTGGGACTTCCGCACCCTCTGAGAAGGACGTCTCCCTCTCGCTTCCCCCCCTCGCTCGCCGCCCAAGAACGGGCCCGATCTGCAGGTCACTCCTCGCCATCGCTCGGACGTCCATTCCCTGTGTTTTGTGCGGTTTCGTGCGTGTTTTCTTCGCCAGATGGTCAAGGATGCTCCTCGATGGTCCTCGCCGAAGGAAAAATGCACACGTCCGAGCGATGCCAAGACTCCGGCGAAGGGTCGCTCTTACGTATCGTCGCTCAACGCCTCCGCGGCCAGACCGGGCCTGCGCCGCCTCGCCGCGCCCCTCGGACGGGTCGGTCACTGCACCGACCTTGCAGACGTGCTGCAGCGGATCGTTGCGTGGATTCCGGTCGATGCAAAATCCCGACCCGGTGAGCAAAAAAACAACGTGCATTTCACATGGATTTGATTTGTCTTCCTTCCAGCAAAAACAACCTCCGCACGAAATTCACGTCGAAATCTGGAACGAACTTCTCCAGGACCCTCTGGGCCCATCCTATTTAGGGAGCCCGCAAAGGACGTACGCGCCCAGCTCTGCACATGAACGCCTCTTCTCGGTCCGCGAGGCCGGCCGCGGGATACGAATGTTCGCACAACGCGCACTTTCGAAACCAGCACGGATTCGTGTACGTGTGCGACTTCCTTCTCTCCCCCCCGACTTTTTCTCTCTCCCAGCGAATTCCGCTCTGCGATGTTGGCGCCACGACTGGCCATCGCTCGGACGTCCATCTCCTGTGTTCTTTTCGGCCTCGTGCGTGGCTTCCTCGCCACATGATCAGGGACGCTCCTCGATGGCCCTCGCCGAGAAAAAAATGCACACGTCCGAGCGATGCCAGGACGAGACGGGCGGCTGGCCGCCGGCGCCGAGGGCGCGGCCTGCGGGCGCCCCGCTCCCGGGCTCGAGCACGGCGACGGACCGGTCGTCGGCCTGCCCCGCGGGGGGCGGGGGGGGGCGCGGCGCGCCTCCCGCCTCCCCGCCCCGCCTTGGGGCCCTCGAGGCTCGAGGCTCGAGGCCGAGGGTCGGGGCCCTCTGGTCGGGGGCGCGCAGGCGTGGATCGGGGATGGACAGACCTCCCTCTAGTAGAACGTGGTTTCGCGAACACGACCCGAGGCCCAGACCCGATGGGCGCGGGCCTGGGAAATAACGGCCACGGCGCCCTCTCGGGAACCGGACACGGACAATTCACTCATCGACGTGTCACTGTTGGGGGTTCTGTCCACCCCCGAGTGGATCAGCGATCCGTGGGTTTGGCGCGCGGTCGCCAAATCCATGGATCGGGGGAGGCGCCCTCCCCAGAATGCGGCCGGTGCCGACTCGCTCGGCGGCGGAAAGCTGCAATTCCCAACGGAAACGGGACCCGCGGCTCACCCATGCCCCTCTAGGATGAAGGTCGAGGGTTGAGGCCATTGTTTGGTCGGGCATGTCCTCCTGCACGCGGATTTGGGAAGAAAAAATAAGCGAATGAGAAGGGCGAGAACCGGGGCCAAAACGAGGGCGAGAAAAGGGTGAGTCGCGCTTCGCCCTTCGCGGTCTGGGTGCCGGGAGGCGGCGGCGCGAAGGCGCGAAGATAATCGCGCTTGGTTCTTCGCGGGACGCGAAGATATAGCTGCGCAAGGAAAAGCATCCAATGGCCTACAGTCGGGCCTGTCCCTCTACAGGAGGAAAAATCAAAGATTGTCAAACATAGTCCTGGGACGCTCTTTTTTCAGTCTACGTTTGTCTGTTTTTGCATTCGTTTTTTGGCGAGGGCCCGCAGGGGCCAAACACTGCAAGAAGCAATCTGTCGTGACGCTGTCAAGACTCGACGAGGGTCTGGGCCCCTGGATCCTCAATCGGCCCCTGCCCCAATATTGGTGCGCGTTCCGGCCAGAATCTCGAGGCACATCCAACGGTGGCGACGTGAAGCCCCATCGGGGTGCCAGGAAGGTTCTTCGCAGGCTCATGGGGGGAAGCGTTTTGTGAGCCGTTCGACTCCTTGTTATTATTAGTATTTTCGGAGCTGCATATGTCTCAAAAGTTGTGTTTTCCTATGCCAATCCTGGGAATTTCCTTTGGACATTCTTGCTCGGCCCAGTGCTTTTCCAGGAAATAGATGTTCCTTAGTTTGCCTTTCACTGGCTCTGACTACCAGAAAAATGATTCCCATCTCTGCGGCCGTCAAAAAAACTGGGGATGCAAACGGGTCCCCGGGATTGGTTCGACACCTCCGGAGGCCCACACGGTGTGAGAAAATCATGACGTGGGGTATGGGTCGCCGTCGCCCGCCTCCTCCTCCTCCTCCTCCTCCTCCTGCTTCGCCAGTCTCGCCAAATGCCAAGGATCCGCGGTGCCAGAGGCGGCGCAAAACCTGGGCAACCAAAAAATCAAGAAAGAGAAAGTCTAAGAGAACGAACGACAACAAGCGCGCTGCAGCCCCCCCGCCCAGGCCTCCGCCGCAGGGGCCCGAAGTCCTCCTTCGGGGGAAGCCCGAGCGGGGAAGCCAACGCCCCCGTCGAGCTTCAGCGAAATCGCTGGCCTGACTCGAAGCCACGTCAGCTCCACCGGGCGCGGGGGCGCAGCCCAGCGCTGGCCCTCGCTTTGTCCAAAGGGGAACCCTGCGTCCGAAACTCCGACGACTAGTCGGATCCACACCCTGCCGAAGCATCTCTAAAGACTTCGCAGTCGCCTCATTCCGAGGCCGATTCCTGCAAAGGTTCAGAAAGCACATTCATCTGATGCCTGGCGTAACTACCACACCTGGAACACCAAACGATCGGGAGCCTGGCGCCAGGATCTCCCCCCCACAAACGATGGATCCGATGAGCCTGGCGACAGATCCTGTGCAGCCCTGAGCATCGAAAACTGGCGAGGTGGGTCCAACGGCGGCCTCGCTCCAAGCATTTCGTGCACAGCCACCCCTTCCCCCACCGCCCCAGGACGTGACCATTGGGGCTGGGGCAAAGGGGCAGATGGGTTCCAGGGGGCCTCAGCCGCTTGGCCACGACTCTGGAGACATCGCGGAACGTCGGCCTGCCAACAACCTCAAGCATCGCCCCTGTGAGCCTTCATAGAGCGCGGAATTTGTCACGCTGCTCGATGAATTTCTCTCGCAACGCGACTGGTACAAGGATTTTACCTGCCGCTCGTCTGGCAGTCTGGTCCGCAATGCGATTTCCTTCCCAAGCCCAGAATGAGATCCCCAGCGACTGAGCTCCCGGCCAAGACCTATGCGCAGGAAGGTGGAACACCCTGACAGTGTCACCCCGCTCCCGTCGCCGACAAAATATCTATTCCCAGCGCTCGGCACAGGGCAAATTCGAGTCGTCCTGCTCCGCTCCTGTGGCACAGGTCAGCACGGCAGACTCAGCCACAACCGCGCTCCAACTCGCCTGGGCAAGAGACGCGGAATGCCATGCGAAACGCGAAAACCTCGGCTCCATCGGTAGAATGCAGCGCGCGCGCGGCAGAGGGCCCGAGACCGTCCCCAACGCGCTCCCTCCTCCATCCAGCATCGCCAGATACCAAGCCGCGACGGTGAAGAAAGGCAACTGTGAGAAGAGGGCCGAGCCATCGGAACACGCGTGACCTTCGTGGACCTCCAGGAGGTCGGATGTCCCACCCCCAAGCTCCAGTGACCCGAAGGCGGGGGCTGAACCTGGTGGGAGTAGGGGGAGGCATCGGGGCAGGATGGGGATCGTCCTGAGCTTCCCTCCACCATCCCAAAAGCTCCTGCTCAAACCCAAGCTGGGCGCGACCTGGCTGCAGGCCGGCACGCGCAAAAAGGCGATGCTGCGCGGTGCCTCGAGCCCCGGGACACAACTGGCACCTTCCATCGATCGCGCGGCGATCCTTGAACAAAACCGACTGACTTACAGGGCCGCCTGAGACGTGCGCGGCAAGGGGGCTGGCCTGCAGGCCCTCTCCTCGGCGGCGGAGGAAGGCGCGAGCCTTGCTGAGCTCCTGGCCCCGATGGCTCCGCTGAAGCTGCCCAGCCACAACAACTTGCGTGCCGACGCCGACGAATTTATGCAGAGATAGATTGCGGACCTTCTCGGGGTCCAGGGTCAGGCCCGAGGCGGCGTCTCAGCGCCGAAACTATGGGGGGCCCGCCCAAGCCTGCGAAGAATCATGATCACTGCGCCCGTCGGACCTTTGATGGCACACCAGGTTGACTCATTGGCGCGAACCCGCTCAAGCAACAAACCGAAGGCAGTCCGCATCTCCTCCCGAGGGGCCCAGCCCTGCCGAACAGGCCCCCCCCCCATGCGAGGAGCGAAAGGGCGTTGCCCACAGAGGCTGGGTCGACCTCGGGCGAAGGCGGACGCCAATGCTGAATAGTTCGGGAGCGGCCCCTTGCAGGCCCAAGGGGCCCCTGAGCAACAGCGCATCGAAGCCGAGAGCCTAGAGAGGAGCTCGTTGGAGATCCCTATGACACTGGCCCCATGAGAGCCCGCAGGAAGGGCCCCGACCTTAGAAATCAAACGTGAGCCTGCGGAGCTGGCTTTTCAAAAAGCGAAGCCGACCCGCACGGGCCCTCACATTGCTCGCGCGCCCCGCCTGAAACCGGACGCGCCTACGACCCCCGCGCGCGCAGTCTGCGTCTGGGTTGCCCACGTGGGACGCCGCCCTCAAACGCAACTTCCCCGAGCCAGCCGCGACGCTTGTCAACGATCCCCGACGTCGTCGCCGCGACCTCGCCGTTCGTCGCGGAAACGAAGCGCCCCCGAGCCTCGAGCGAGCGACAAAGAGTGACAGTGACTGCCAGCGCCTCTTTAGTAACTACCTCGACCGCGCAGAAACCACTTCTCACAAAAGCCGAGCACATCAAACAAAAACGCCTGCAACAGTGTCGCGGTGAAACCGCGACCCGCGACGATGGTGGACAGGGTGCGAGCAGGGCGAGAGACGCGCTTTCTGAGCAAGAGACTTCGAGGTGCACGATAGTTGTGCTTCGGGGCCGCCCGCCCGAGGTCCCCATGCTGAATCCCCGCGTAGCTTTCAGCAAGATCGAGGAACGAGTTGGCGGCCGCCCTGCAGGTCAAGGCGGCGATCTCTCTCGCTGCCCCCAAACAGCCAGCTCACATCCCACGCGTATAGATGCGGAAATGTTCGGCTTCCCACTGGGGCGCGAGGTCCCTGGATCAACGGGCCCAGATCCTGACCGCCATGCTGAGCAGCCCAACGAGCAGCGCGTACCCCTCGGGCATCGGGGGGGAGGGCACGGGGGCGAAGCTGGCCTGCGCAGGTAGCGCACTCAGGACGAGCACCCCATTCCAGAGCAAGCCGAGGCCCCCAGGGCGCTGCTGGGTGTCCAGGAGGGGCGAGACCTGCTGCATGCCCTCGTCGGGGTTCGCGTCAGCGTTTGGGCAAGTCCAGGCCTCCTCCAAATGCTTCAGAACGTGACCCAGTACATCCTCAGGTCCTGGTGGGCCCCCCCCGCTTGGGATGAATAGGGCGCCAGACGACAGGGAGACATGAAAATCTGAGCTTCGCCACCGCCGTTCGCAACCGCATCCTCCACGAAATTGCGCCACTCCGCCGCCCTCTGCCAAGTAGAATCTCGCCCGCAACGAACAGCCTGCACCTGCAAGCCCCCCCCCCCCCCCCAATCGGCAAGGCCTGCGGATGTCATGCTGCGCCACGCAGCAGCCGGAAGAGAGAACTGGGCCCAGGCTGGAGTGTCCCCGATGGCCAATGGCCCACTACATATCTTTGCCAGGACCAAGAGGGAGGCGAGGATGAGAGGTCTCCTGCACTCGTCCTGGGCCTGAGCGTGGCCGAGCTCGCGCAGCCAGTTGCCTCCTGTCTAGCAACAGGGTGGGGGCCTGGCGCCGGAGCAAAACCAGGGGGCCTCTTATACCTCAAGCCTGATCCACTTCCTCGAAATCTGACCTGCTGGTGCTCGGGAATCCCGCGGGCCCCCATGAGCTCGTCCTCCATGAGCTGGT